GCTCGTCCATCATGTCATCCTTTTCATCTGTCCATCTGGCATCCTCTGTTCATCTGTCCATCCACTTATCCGTCTGTCCATTTATGCACCCAGCCATCCAGCTCTCATTTAAAAAAATTTTTAATTTTTAATTATTTATTTTTTTATTTGACAGAGATACACAGTGAGAGAGAGAGACAGAGAGAAAGGTCTTCCTTCTGTTGGTTCACTCCCCAAATGGACGCTACGGCTGGCACCACACCGATCTGAAGCCAGGAGCCAGGTGCTTCCTCCTGGTCTCCCATGTGGGTGCAGGGCCCAAGCACTTGGGCCATCCTCCACTGCACTCCCTGGCCACAGCAGAGAGCTGGACTGGAAGAGGAGCAACTAGGACTAGAACCCGGCGCCCATATGGGATGCCGGCGCTGCAGGCAGAGGATTAACCAAGTGAGCCATGGCGCCAGCCCCCATCTATCATTTTTTAAAAACAAGTTTTATTTATTTGAAAGGCAGAGTTACAGAGAGCAAGGCAGAGACAGACAGAGAGAAGTCTTCCGTCTGCTGATTCACTCCCCAAATGGCTGCCAAGTGGCCGGCGCCATGGCTCAATAGGCTAATCCTCCGCCTTGTGGTGCTGGCACACCGGGTTCTAGTCCCGGTTGGGGCGCTGGATTCTGTCCCGGTTGCCCCTCTTCCAGGCCAGCTCTCTGCTGTGGCCAGGGAGTGCAGTGGAGGATGGCCCAAGTGAATTCCCCCACATTGCAGTTTCAGCTGGTGTCTTGTTCTTTTTTTTTTTTCCTGAAGATGTATTTATTTATTTGAAAGGCGGAGTTACAGAGAGGCAGAGGCAGAGAGAGAGAGAGAGAGAGAGAGAGAGAGAGAGAGGGAGGGAGGTCTTCTATCTGCTGGTTCACTCCTCAGAAGGCTGCAATGGCTGGAGCTGCGCTGATCCAAAGCCAGGAGCCAGGAGCTTCTTCCGGGTCTCCCACGCAGGTGCAGGAGCCCAAAACTTGGGCCATACTCCACTGCTATCCCTAGGCCACAGCAGAGAGCTGGATCAGAAGAGGAGCAGCTGGGACTAGAACCGGTGCCCATATGGGATGCCGGCGCTGCAGGCAGCGGCTTTACCCGCTACGCCACAGCGTAGCCTCTTGTTCATGTGTCCATCAAGTTGCCCCAACAAGTTTTCTCTCCAGACTCCTTTTGTCCTCAGAAAGATTCTTTACTTCCTGAAGCCAACTTCAAGGGCTGGATGTTGTGTTTATCAACCTTAAATTCTTTATATTTATGTTTTCTTAAGGATTTATTATTTATTTGAAAGGCAGAGTTACAGAAAGGGAGGGAGGGAGGGAAGGAGGGAGAGAGAGGTCTTCCATCCACCAATTCATTCCAATTGGCTACAACAGCCGGGTCTGGGCCAGTACAAAGCCAGGAACCAGAGACTCCATCCAGGTCTCCCACCTGGGTGACAGGGCCCAAACACTTGGGCCGTCCTCCGCTGCTTTCCCGAGGACATCAGCAGGGACCTGGATTGGAGGCGGAGCAATGGGGAGACTCCAGCTGGCACTCATATGGGATGCTGGTGTCGCTGCCCCACAACGCTGGCCCCAAACTCCACATTTCTAAAGTGCATTTTACAATCCTGGCGGTGCACATGCCACGGTGCCGACAGTGCCTGTCTCTGGGCAGTGACCCGGCGGCGGCGCCCTGCGCAGCACACACAAGCGGTCTTCAAGAAATTGGTAAAAATGCCTATCGTGAAAAGTCTGTGTCTTTTAGTTGCATTCCCACAAATGTTCTCCCCAGGGTGAGAAGCTCACACGCCCTGTGGGAGTCATGACTTCCACTCTTAGATGTTTATCCAGGCCGGCGCCGCGGCTCACTAGGCTAATCCTCCGCCTTGCGGCGCCAGCACACCGGGTTCTAGTCCCGGTCGGGGCGCTGGATTCTGTCCCGGTTGCCCCTCTTCCAGGCCAGCTCTCTGCTGTGGCCAGGGAGTGCAGTGGAGGATGGCCCAGGTGCTTGGGCCCTGCACCCCATGGGAGACCAGGAAAAGCACCTGGCTCCTGGCTCCTGCCATCGGATCAGCGCGGTGCGCCGGCTGCGGTGGCCATTGGAGGGTGAACCAACGGCAAAGGAAGACCTTTCTCTCTGTCTCTCTCTCTCACTGTCCACTCTGCCTGTTAAAAAAAATAATAATAAAAAAAAAATAAAAATAAAAATAGATGTTTATCCAGGGAAGGAAGACTTGTGTCCCACAAGGACACCAGCAAGGTTCCCAGTCACAGCAGCCTGAAGCAGACTGCCCACGGCCGTCCCCTGGAGAATGCCCAGGCGTGGACGCAGTGGAGCAGGCCTGGGTGACTGCCGAGCTGCTCAGCGCCGCTGGAGGAAGCCAGACGCCGGGGGTGGGGCCTGACTCCATAGAAAGGGAATTCCGGAAAAACGCGAGGAGCTGGCGGTGACACAGCGGGGACTGAGTGTGGCGCGGAGACCGAAGGCCAAGGAGGAACGTTTGGGGTGATGGAAACTGTGTGGAAGGCACAGCAGTTACGCAGGTGTATACATTGGGCAAAATGTGTCTGAGCACTCGGCGTTCACGAGAGGCGCAGGTCTAGGAGAGGGTCAGCGGCAGGGGTCAGCGGAGTGCCCGGGTCCAGCCCTGCCCCGCTCGCAGCACAGCCGCCTGCCAGTGTGCCAGGAGATGGCCTTCGCCTCGGTTTCCTGACACCGTGTGGGAGACCAGGCTGGAGCTGGCTCCTCACTGTGTCCTGGCCCAGCCCTGGCCGTTGGAGTCCTTTAGGGAGTGAACCAGCAAATGGGAGATCTCTGTCTCTGTTGCTCTGCCTTCCAAATAAATAAACTTAAGAATAAAAAGATAGGTTTATTTTGGGGCGCAAAGTGAAGTTTACGTAGTTTCCACGATACATGTTTTCGGGGACCTTGGAAGACCCCTTGGGTGCATGGGAATCACATGGAGTGAGTGAGTGGGAGAAGAGGGTGCAGCTGGGACACGTGACTCCGACTCGAAGCCGCAGGCTTGCTGCTGGGGCCTGCCCTGTCCTGGGGGCTGCACTGCCCTCTTGTCACATCCCATCTCCTAGGCCAAGGTGCTGGTGAAGTTGGGGGCCGTGTAGTTCTTTATGGGGGGGGCAATGTTCTGTGCATGGCATCTCTGACCTCTGCCACCAGGGGCCAGTCACCCCCAGGTGACCAGCAGATCCGTCAGGGTTGGCCCAGTGGCCCCCTGGGGCTTTGACCCACTCCAATGGAGCGTGGCTGCTGCAAGCCAAGCGGGCTGGTCTCAGCCTGGGGGAGATCCGGGGCTCCCTCAGCAGAACCAAGTTCCCATGTCTCTTGTTCCCCACAGGAGTCCCTGGTTGGTCAGGGGCCCAAGCCCGCCCATACTCCCAACCCCCTGGGGAGGAGCTGGCCCAGCCGGGGAGGGAAGCGGCAGAGGCAGCCATCCAGGCGCTCTCTGGCCAGTTTCTCAGGCTTTTGAGGGCAACCAGGCCCTGGAAACATTGGGCAGAGCCCCTGTCTGAGGACACAGCCGCTGGACAGGAGGAGGCCCCTTCAGGGCTCTGGCTCTCTCCTCGGGGAAGAAGGCATTGGTGTGCCCGCCCCGTCCCTGCTGCCCAGGCAGCCCACGGCCACCCTCCAGTCCCCTGGGCGAACAGAGACAATGGTGCCTACTCTTAGTGAGCCAGTGGGTCACTCGAGGGAACGGTCGGATTCCGGGCCTCCGTGAGGCCTCTGGGTCCCCAGCCAGACATCCCCTCCCCTGTCAGGAAGCCACCTCGGGCAGGTAGAAGGAAGGAAGCTGAAATGGCAGCAAAACCTACAAATGCGCGTGCTAGCCTCAGGCTTGACTGAGCCTGGATCACCGGCCCTTTGTCTGCCTCTTCCCACTGCCCTTTTCTCGCCCTGGCTGCTGTTTGCCGAGGGCTTAGGCTGACAGTTCCGTCTCAGAGCTGCCTCTTCCTGCCACCTCCATCCCAGCATCCCAGAGGGCGACTCTCCCAGGCTGCCCACCCGCCAGGGCTCGCGCCTCCTTCCCCCATGTCGGGCGTGCCGGCGGCTGTGGGGCAGGGCAGTGGCACGGCTCAGGGCTAGACTGCCTGGGCTGGGGCTGGGGTCTGGCCTCAGTTACCACCCACTCTGTGGCACTGGACCTCTGGGCGTCTCCATCTCAGCAGCTATAGAATGGGGACAGTAGCAGTGCCAGCCTCAAAGGTTGTCTGAGCTGGGACCGTGGAGTGTGTGGCCTGTGGGTGCCCAGATGAGATCCTGCCAGGCACATAGGCAACCTCGGCAGCGGGGAGAGTGGGACGCTGCCTGGGTGGTCTCCAGGCTGGCCTTCCGCTGCGGGAGGGTCTCCAGCCCCTCCCTTCCACGGTCATTGCAGGCGGATTTCTCCTCCACGTGTCCAGGCCTCTGCACGTCTCGGGTGCTCGGACCAGACCATCCTTTGGCTTTGGACCTGTGCTTGGCCCTGGTTGGCTGCCATCACAGGGTGACCAACCCCCTTTCCAGCTCTGAGACCTGCCTGTGTCCTGGCCAGGAGTTCACAGAGCATAGCCCGGATGCTGAGGCTCACTTGTCTGGGGTCTATGGACAGGAACACAAACAGTGTCCCAGGCCACCTGGACAGGAGGGCTTCCGGGTTCCTGCCGGAGCTCCTGCCAGGGCCCCACTTGAGGTGGACGTGGCCAAGCAGGGCCCGGGTATAAGTGGGCAGGCTGAAGGGCTCAGACACTTGGCACAGGTGAGGAGGAGCCAGGGACGGGTGCATGGCGTTGCGGGGAGTGTGTGTGTATCCACACAAGCCTGAATCGGGGAGCAGGGCAGACAGGGGTCCTTATGGTACGGGCTCTCTTCCAGGACTAGTTCAGACTTTGGGGTGCTCAGGCTTAAATGACAGTGCAGGTCCCTTGTTCAAAACTGATGAAGAATTTCACAGGAGCGACACGAGCCCTTCTGAGCCCCTGGGCAGGTTGCCTGCCCTCCAAACCAGCCCTGGCCCCTTCTCCTAAGCCCTCGAAACCAGCCCTGGCCCCTTCTCCTAAGCCCTGGAAACCTGCTTAAAGGAGGGTGCCGCTGCTCTCCCCCACCCCCGACGGACGCGTCCTCCCAGAGCTTCTGGAGTTCTACGCGGCTCCCGTGGCCACGAGGCCTGATCCGGCACCTTGAACCATGCTGCTGCTCCTCACCCTGCCCCTCCTGGCTGGCTCTGCCTGCAGCGCCCAGGGTAGGTCCCACCCCCGGCCCCTGGGCCTTCCTCCGGTCCTGTGGTGTGGGGAAGTTGCCCGGAGGGGCTGGAGGTGGGGACCTCGCCCGGAGCCCTGCGGCCCACTCTGCGGCCCCTGTCCAGAGATGCAGGGCCCTGGCGGCGGTTCCTACTTCTACATCCAGGACGGAGGGCAGGGTGAGATCCAGGGCATCCGGGTCTTCGTGGGGCTCCTGGGCCTCATTAAGGGGTGAGTAGCACTCGGCTGGGCTTGTCCCCTGCCGTGCCCACGCCTCGCTGCCCTCATGACCCTGACCTTCCCAGCCTCTGTGGCCTGCCCTGGACATGGCACCAGAGCCTGGGATGGTGGCCAGCTGGGGTACAGGGGGTGCCTCTGCGGGAGGGCCCTGCCCTGGGGCGCCTGGGTTGAGAGTGACAGGAACCTGCTCACTGGCACAGGCTGCGGGGCCTCCCGCTGGCTTCACTGGGTTCTGAATGTGCAGTGGACTGCCCGCCCTGGTCCTTGGCTCCCCACGGAGGGCAGGCTCTGCCGCTCTGGAGCCGGCTTCTCCAGCATGCTGCCTTCTTGGGGGTGGCAGTGCCGTGCCTAGCAAATAACCAGGTCAGCAGCTGAATTCCAGTTAAACGGGGAACCATCTTTTAAAATTATTTATTTAGGGGGCCAGTGCCGTGGCTCACTTGGTTAATCCTCCGCCTGTGGCGCCGGCACCCATATGGGTACCGGGTTCATGTCCCGGTTGCCCCTCTTCCAGTCCAGCTCTCTGCTGTGGCCCGGGAGGGCAGTGGAGGATGGCCCAAGTGCTTGGGCCCTACACCTACATGAGAGACCGGGAGGAAGCACCTGGCTTCTGGCTTCAGATTAGCGTAGCTCTGGCCATAGTGGCCATTTGGGGGGTGAACCAATGGAGGGAAGACCTTTCTCTCTCTCTCTCTCTCTCTCTCTCTCTCTCTCTCTCTCTCTCTCTTTCATTGTCTAATTCTGTCAAATGAATTTAAAAAAATATTTAAAAACACCGGTGGATGGCATCTAGGTCTCCCAGATGGGTGGCAGGGGCCCAAGTACTTGGGTCATCTCCCACTGCTTTCCCAGGCCGTTAGCAGGAGCTGAACTGGAAGTGGAGCAGCCGGGAGAGGCACTGTGCCCCTCTGGGGTGCCGGCGTGATTCAACCGGCTGTGCCACAGTGCTGCCCCCAGGGAATCCCTGGTGAGCGTGTGCACGTCCTCTGCAGGTGTGGGACATGTGTGCACTTTACTCGTCTGCAGCATGACAGTGTCCAGGGGCTGTGTAACACGTGATTCACTGTTCCTCTGAAATTCAAGTTAAACCGACGCCCAGCATGTTATCTGCTTCTGCGCTCGGGGTGCAGCCTAGAATGGAAGAGCAGGGCCAGGCTGCGGTCAGTAGGCTGTCTCCTGGACTCAGGACCCTGGCCCAGCCCCCACGGGTCACGAGTGTCCGCACCAGCAGAGCCCAGCTTGAGGCAGGGTCCGTCTCCGGTCCGCCTGGCTCAGCTCCGCGCTCGCGGGGCTCAGTGCGGCCGCGGCGGCCCCACGCCAGGTGCCCTGGGAAAAAGCTGCGGCGTCGGGAAACCGAGCTGCGCAGCGAAGCGGGACGCGCGTGCGGGAGCGGCCCGGTGGCCGCGCGGGATACAGGGCCGGGGGACCCAGTGGGTGTGTCCCGAAGAGGCGGTGGCTCCGGATACCCGGATTCCGGCGGCCGCTGACCCCGCCCCCACCCCTAGCGTGCAGCTGCGGTTCGGCACCCACTGGAGCGCGCGCTACGGAGCGCCCGGCGGCCACGCGCGCGAGTTCCTGCTGCAGGCGGGCGAGCACGTGACTGCGGTGGACGGCAGCGCGCTCGCCTGCATTCGACACCTGCGCTGGACAACCAGCAGGGGGCGTGAGGCTACCTTTGGGAGGCCGGCAGGCAGGCGCTTCAGCTCCCGCGCTCCCGCCCCGGGGCAGCAGCTGCTGACCACCAACGGCCAGCACCGGCTCTTGTGCCTTTCGGGAATCGGCTTCAAGTGGGGATTCGCCCCGGAGAGGGCGTCCACCCCTGCGTCCACTGTGGCCTTCACCCAGGTGTCCACCTTGTCCACCGTGGCCCCCACCCCGTTGTCCACCCCGGCCCCCACCTCAGCATCTATCCCTGCATCTACTGTGGCCCCCACCTCGGCATCCACCCTGCTGTCCACTGTGGCCCCCACCTCGGCATCCACCCTGCTATCCACTGTGGCTCCCACCTCGGCATCCACCCTGCAGTCCACCGTGGCCCCCACCTCAGCGTCCACCCTGCAGTCCACCCTGGCCCCTACCTTGGTGTCCACCCTGGCTCCCACCTCGGCATCCACCCTGTGGTCCACTGCGGCCCCCAACCCAGCCCCCACCTCGGCATCCACTCTGCCGTCCACCATGGCCCTCGACCCAGTGCCCACCCCGTCGTCCACCTTGTCCAACCTGTCCCCCACTTCGGCTGCCACCCTGCCACCCAACCTGGCCCCCAACCCTGTGCCAGTCCCATCTGGTCTTCCACTGAATTGCCCATTCCAGTGCCCACCCGGGCACCCACCCAGAGAGCTGCCGACTGGGTCCCTGGGCGCACCCTGAGAACCGACACTCCAGTCGGCCCTCCACCTGGGGCCACTATGTGCAGCCCGGCCTGCTCCGGCGGATCTGGGAGCCTGGGCGACCGTGGGCAGGAGGCTGCGATCCCCACATTGAATAAAGCGTCTGCATCCAATCTGGCGTGCGTGGTGCTTGTCAGCAAGGGGCGTGGGCTCCAGGTCTCCTCTTTGGGCGGTTACCCCCCACCGCTCCCAAAAGGCGCGGGGCTGTGCCGTCCGACTCAGGTGCCTCAGGAGCACTGCCTCCCGTCCAGCGCGGGGCTGGTCACAGAGGGTGCCCTCCAGGCTTGCCGGGGGGAACAAGGGAGGGATTCCAGGGACCCTGGGGACTCAGACGCCAGTCCTGAGCCGGGGTGGGCCGCCCTCTCCCTCCCCTTGCTCTCCTCCATCCCCTCAGGAGCACTGGGACCAGGCCCAGGTCCTCGCCCCTCCCTACAGGGGATAGAAGGGCTCTCTCCCTGCACTTGTGCTTTGATTGTCAACACAGTGAAGGGTGGGTGTGAGGACGGCCCACACTCTGAAGTGTGTGACGAGCCCTAAACGCAGCCTGTCTGTGTCAGATTCGCAGGGTGTTGGCAGGTGTGTGAGGTCACGGTTTCTGGTACAGAACAACAGAGGCGAAGAGATGCATTTCCCCACCCCAGTCTGTGCAGGTCCTGGAATTTTGTGCACAGACCCCATGTTAAGTGACTCTCAGCTTTGAAAAGCAAACCAGGGGCCGGCGCTGTGGCACAGCAGGTTAAAGCCCTGGCCTGAAGCGCCGGCATCCCATATGGGCACCGGTTCTTGTCCCGGCTGCTCTTCTTCTGATCCAGCTCTCTGCTATGGCCTGGGAAAGCAGCAGAAGATGGCCCAAGTCCTTGGGCCCCTGCACCCACGTGGGAGACCCAGAAGAAGCTCCTGGCTCCTGGCTTCAGATCGACTCAGCTCCTGCCATTGCTGCCATCTGGGGAGTGAACCAGCGGGTGGGAGACCTCGTTCTCTGTCTCTACCTCACTCAGTAATTCTTTCAAATAAATAAAATAAATCTTTTTTAAAAAAAGAAAAGAAAACCAAGGGGCGGGCGCTGTGGCATGGCTGGCGCTGTGGTGTAGCAGGTAAAGCCGCCTGCAAAGCCAGCATCCCATATGGTTCAAGTCCCAACTGCTCCACTTCCCATCCAGCTCCCTGCTAGTAGTCTGGGAAAGTGGCTGAGGACGGCCCAACTGGCTGGGCCCCTGCACCCGTGTGGGAGACCTGGAGGGAGCTCCTGGCTCCTGGCTTCAGCCTGGCCCAGCGCTGGCTGATGCAGCTATCTGGGGAGTGAACCAGTGGAGGGAAGGTTTCTCTCTCTCTGTAAATAATCTCTTTCAAGTAAATAATCTTTTTTTGTTTGTGAAAGTAAACTAAGCTAAAATGACAGTGGGGATGAGGGCTGCCCGGTGCGTCTGAGGCAGAGCGCCAGGGGCCGGCTGTGAGACCTGGGGTTCGCGGCCACATTTTGCAGCTGGGCCCCTTCGGCTTGGACCCAGCACTGCCACTCAGCAAGTGCAGGGCCCGAGACCGGTCGCTTCGCCTCAGTGCCTCAGGCTTCTCATCCTGCCGCTGGGGACCATGGGGGTCCCGGCCCTAGGCCATTGCGAGCAGCCCCCACCTCAGCCACCTCTGGCTCTTGCCCGTGTCGACCCCTTGCCCCGGAGTGCACTCATTCCGTGGCCTCCACTTAGCCAACTCTCCCTCGTCCTTCAAGACTTAGCTGGGTGTCACTTCGCTTCCTCCACGGCTGCACCCCCGAGCAGGTGCCCACACGCAGTGAACTGAGCCCGTGCCTGCCAACGTCGCCTCACAGTGAGCGGCCACCCTCCGCTTCTGCATCTGTCCCACGGATCTCTCCCCTCCTCTGCTGCATGGCTGACCTCTACTCTCTAACCTCAGGGCCCCAGGGAGCTGGGTGTGGACAAGGCCTTGGCTAGGTGAGTGAATGAATGAGTGGCTTCCCCGAGACCCCCAGCACCCTCAGAGACCTCTGGAATGGAGCCTGGCCAGGGAGGCCAGTGGACGGGCCTGGGGCTGGGAACGGGAGTGGTGGCCATTAGCCGTGGAGCCTGACTCCTCGAAGGTCGAAGGTCGTGGGACCAGTCCTGGGTCGTCCGCAGACCCTCTTCTGCCCACTTCCCAGCTCAGGTCACTGAGTTCCCAGCCCGGGGGTTGCGTCCTGCCCAGACCCAAGGACCACACCTGCATATGCTGTTCCTGCAAAAGCTTTATTGCCTGGTGGGGTCCAGTTACCCCAGGACCAGCCGCCCCTGCGTCCCCATGCCGTGGCTCCGCGACGCTCACTTGGTGCCGTTACAGGCTGGGCCAGGGAGCGACTCTGCCAGCAGAGGGCCCCATCGAAAGCCGAGGCCCTTAAAGCCGGGGGACGCCAGGAAGCCGAAGATGCCCTTGAGCACCTGCCCGTCCTCGGTGGGGAGGGCAGAGAAGGGCTTGCCGGCCGCCTTCCCGAACTCCACGCAGCGGCTGTGGTTGGTGCACAGGGTCAGCCTCCAGATTTTGAGGAGGTACTGGCCTTGCACGGACGTGATGTGCTCTTCCGGCTGCAGGATGAGCTCCTGGGTCTTCCAGCCGGTGGTTCCGTACACAGCGTCCCAGACCCAGCCGACCTTCACCTGGATACTGGGAGAGAGGAAGTCTCCCAGGGCCGGGCCCGGGGCAGGGCGAGCAGCACAGGGCTCAGCCTCTCGGGGCTCAGCTTCCCCATCTGCGAAGAGGGCGTTGTGCCGGGAGCTCCAGGCGGTGCCGGGTCACCGCGACCTTCGGGAGCCAGCGCCGCTGTTGTGGCCCAGGGCCGCTGCCCCTGGCGAAGCCTGACCTCCTCAGCCTGAGTCGCAGGAGCAGGTCACAGGCCTGAGAAACAGGTGTCTCCCGGGGCACAGCTCTGGTTGGCTGTGTCCTTCGCCTCACCTTGGGGCCGTCCTCAGCTCACCCCAACACACTCTGTCCTCCCTCCCCCGGCCCCCAGTGTCTCCTAAGTGCAGAGCAAAGACCCAGGCCTGGCCTCGAGCCGGGACACCCCCATCCGAGGGCAACAGAACACTTGTGGCGACTCGTCTTCACTTGACAGTCCACCCTGTCACCTGCCTTCCTTCTTGACCCTAACTGGACAGACCGCCACCCCACCACCCCGACTTCCCCAGTGGGCCTTTGGCCAACTTTGGTGCTGAGTTTGGGTTGGAAGGCGATGGGGAGAATTCTGCTCATCCCACCCGCTGGCCGCCCAGGAAACAGCGGGGCTTTCAAGGGGCGTCTGCAAGGCCGGGGAGTGGAAGCTCGGTGACCCCATGGCGCCCGGCAGCTGCCCAGAGCCCGCGGGAGCTGCCGTCGAAGAGTGGCCCCGATCCCGCTCACCTCTGAATCTGGCCCAGAAGATTCGTGGTTATCCGAACCGCCCTGATGTCATAGTCTTCGTCCACATAGGTGCTGAAAAACTTCTCTCCTTGGAGTCCATACATGGCTACGAGGACAAGAACCAGGGAGCCCACCAGGTCACCTGGGGGCTCTCACTGCCCTGGGGCCATGGACGCTGGCTCTGCAGGCGGGGGTGGTCCTGCGACCATGTGGTCACTGGGCATCCCAGACGGACAGATGGGAGGGTGCCCACCAGGAGGACGGGCCAGAGGAGGCAGACCGGCCACACTCACTCTCGGCCCAGGAGGCAGGGGTCCCCAGGAGAGCGAGGGCCAGCAGCAGCAGTAGCATGGCGTCCAGGTGTCCCAGCCGGCACGGCACAAGGCTCTGGGGAGAGGAGAAGCCACCTGAGTCCAGCGCGTGGCCCAGCCCCTCTCGCCGGCCTGCCCGTGCGCACTGCGCGCCTCACCTGGCCAGGAGTGCTTCCTCAGCCTGTGTGCCCTCCGCCTGCCCCTTTATACCGCCCCCCCGGGCTCCTGGCCCTCGTCCAGAAGGAAGGAACAAGGGGCCACCAGGGAACAGGAAGGAGCTGGGTGGTGGGGGCTCTTCTGGGGGAATCCCCAGAGCCATCCTGGGGGAGGCTCCCGGACACGCTGTGTTTGCTGTCTTGGCCCTGCATCTGGGCCGGTGACAGGCACCTCACCATCACCTCCAGGTCTTCTCGTCAGCGCCTGGGCCGACTTTGACTCTAGAGGTCAGGGGAGGTTTGCTCAGAGCCCTTGCCCAGCCCAGGAGACGGTCAGAGCTGCAGGAGCTCCGTGGGAACCTTGGCGGAGCTGGGCTCAGGACCTCACTCAGCCTCCGGGTGTGATCTGGGGCCGCCTGTGTCACCACTCAGGGCTCCAGTGGCTACCCTGTCACCCGTGGAGAATCGTGGGAGCCACAGAGCCGTGGGGCTGCTGTGAGGGTCTTCCCACAGATGGCTAAGGTGACGCTCGGGGAAGCCTGGAAGCTGAGAGGTGCCAGCCTTGTGTGTGTGGAGGGGCGGAGGACCCTGGCGGCAGAGTTGTGGCTGCAGTGGGCACCTCGCGGCCATGCAGCGGGAGCCCAGGAGCTGGCAGTCACAGGCCCAGGGCAAGCAGTCAGCCCCTGCTTCGCGAGAGCGGCCTCGTGTGTGGCAGAGCAGGGCGACGCGGCCCCACCGGGCGGCAGTGTGGGCCGCGCAGAGTGCTCTGTCCTGTTGCAGTGTCAGGAAACATTACAGAAAAGAACCATTTTTTGGTGGCACATGAAAATGCTATGAAATCCCAATGTTATCGTCCACACACCAAGTGCCACGGGTGTCCAGCTTGCCCACTCATGTGCGTGTCTCCTGTAATGGCCGTGCTGAGACCCAGTAGCCCTCGGGCCTGAAATTGTACTACCCAGACCCCTGGGGACACCACCCCCCCACCCCCCCTCCCACAGAGGCAGCCCTGCCCAAGGTGCTGGCGAAAGGCATTGTGGGCAGGGAGGGCATTCAGAGGCTGGAGGACAGGCTGGCCCAGGCTCAGGCACCCACAGGCTCGTGGGCCAACGTGCGCCCCCACCTCAGCCCTCCTCCCAGCTCTGCTCCCTGTCCCAGCCACTCTCCGGCCCGGGAGGACGAGGCAGATGGGCGGGCAGCAGAGCCTTCCTGGGCCCCAGGAGGAAGCTCCTTCCAGAAGGTGGAGCCCAGCTGTGCCCTTGGCCCTGTGGCTACACAAAGGGGGCTTCTGTTCCCGCGCCTGCTCAGCCTGAGGGCCCTGTCCTGGGTGTTTTCTAACTCGAGGCTGGCAAGGTTTGGGGCCCAAAAGGAGGACGGTCTGTCTGGGCTGGGACTCCAGGAAGCAGCAGCACCTGGTGTGGGCGGGCAGCTGGGAGACAGTTGCCAGCCTGGCCAGAGGCGACGGTGGCCCGGCCAGGATGCGCACGTGAGGCGTGTGTCCACAGAGCACACGTGTGCGGTGACAGTGGGTGCACGTTCACACACATGAACGTGTGAACAGGTGTGCACACACACGCATGTCCCCACATTGGCCAGCTGCTGCTCCACACGGCAGCACGCTTACACTCACGCACACCTGCACGGCACCTGTCAGCTGCACAGCTGGGGGAAGTCCCGAGAGCTGGCCCGGAGCCCACGATCCAGGAGGCTCGACACAGGCCCTTTGTCTCCCAGGAACAGAGCTCCCCAAGAGGCCGGGTCAGCCTTTGTTCCCTGCCGGGCTGCGCCCCAGCCCCCACTGCCAGGAGGCCAAACAAGGCCGCCTTTCCTCCTGGCAGCGGTGGCCCACGCCCTGCTGTGCCCGCCTTCCAGATGTGAGGCTTGGGAAGCCTGTGTCTTAGCCTCTTGTGGCTGGCGGAGGCCCCCCTGCAGCCCGAGTGCCAGGCTGCCCCAGCCTCATCTGGAGGCAGGAGCTGAGGCTCACGGGTGGAGAGGGAGGTGCCTCCTGCCGGTGGCCCCTGCGGACGCTGGGGACCTCAGGGGTCAGTGGCAAGAGGCTGCCCAAGGGGAGGGGGGCGGCCAGAAGCGAAGGGGCCACAGGCTGGCTTGCCCAAGGTCCATGGGTGGCTGCTGCCGGGGGGAGCCCCAGGGGAGCCCCGTGGTGGCGGGAGGCAGCTCTCCCCTTACTGTGTAAGCGTTGTCTCCATTTTCCCCGGAGAGGATTCGTGCTTTCATCAGAGAACCAGGGCGCTTGGGGGCGCCGCTGTTAAGCTGCCAACTGAGACGCTGGCATCCGATGTGAGTGCCGGTTCAAGTCCCGGCTGCTCCACTTCCGATCTAGCTCTCTGCGGTAGCCTGGGAAAGCAGCAGAGGATGACCCAAGTGCTTGGGCCCCTGTACCCACATGGGAGACTGGGAAGACGCTCCTGGCTCCTGGCTTTGCCTTGGCCCAGCTCCGGCGGTTGCAGCCATTTGGGGATTGAATCAGCAGAAGGAAGATTCTCTCTCTCTGTCTCTCTCTCTCTCTCTCTTTCTCTGTAACTCAGCCCTGCAAACTGAAGGGTTAAAAAGTTAAAAGCCACTCCCCCCCCCTCAACCTCCTCTGGTAAACTTTCCTGACCTCGTTAGACTTGCTCTGCATAGCCATTCTCTATAAAGCTAATTAGTCAGTAAATTACCCCAATGTGAGTGTAACCTTAGTTTCACCTAAGTAAGATAGAAGAAGTCACCGTATATCTCTTTGCCTCCTGGAACCCTGACCCCACCATGTGTCCCTTATCGCCATTCGGCTGCATTCCTAGGTATCATCAAGGCAGTTCCTGCAACCTTGTTGTGTTTGTTGTCTGGCCCTCCCTTTTGGCAATAGGAGGCTTTTTGATCCTCCCTGTATAGGCCATCTGGTTCTCTGAGGTCTAATCAGGCCCTTACTCGATATCCTGTACTCCCTGTATTCATAAATCAACTGGTTGTAAAATCACTTAACTTGTGTCAATTGTTTACGCTATACCTCTGTCTGATCTATGCAATGATTGATTTTCTTTGTTTAAATGTGTATAAAAACCCCAACCCAAGACTATTTGGGGCCGCTCGCCTGTACTGGGACGGGGGCCCCGACATGTTGGATCATCAATAAACCTTACCCTTTGTTAATTGCATGAGAGAAGGTCTCTTGGAGCGTTTTTGGGGTGGCAAGAGCAATCCAACTCTAACAAAACAAATATTCAAAAAAGAGAACCAGGGCACTCAGCCTCACATTCCGCCTGACCTTTTATGTAGTTAAAATTTCATCAGCGCCAGTGTTGAAGGTTACCGGCACCCAATTTTGTTTTGGTCAGAGCAAGTCGGTGAAATAAAATTCCGTTTATTGCTGGACAACGTGATAGCACTTCACACACTTCACACAGGCCAAAAAATAGAGAGCGGCAACAAAAGGGAGAGGAGAATTGTGCCGGCGGCGGCTCAGCAGCTCCTGCAGACCAACCGCCGCTGCAGCGCTGGGGGCCGGGCCGCTCCGTGCTGCGCCTGCTTCCTCCTTGGAGAAAATTAGCAGGGCCTGGGAGCCTTGGTTCCTATGTCCTCGCCTGTTGCTAATTCCCCTTGATTCTGGCAGCGGTGGAGGGAGCGCGGGGCGCCGGCGGGGACAGCCGGCCTCTCCGGGGCGACCATGCTCCGTTCCCCGTGGAGGGACCGGGTCGCGGCAGCCTTTTCTATTTTATTTTTTAAGGTTCGCTTTACCTTTCCTGCAGCTCAGCCATCCTCACCTGTCCTCTCGACATTATCACGTCCGTCAGGTTCAGCCGCCCGCCCGCCTCTGCCTCCTCCACCTGTTTGTCCACCTGCTGCTCCCCATCTCCTCCACCACTTCCTGCTTCTCCCAGAAGTTCTTGGTGGTGACCTGGGAGCCGCGTGCAGGGCCGTGGCAGGGCCCCGGGCCACGAAGTTAAGGTGGTGTTTCTGGGGGGGGGGGGGGATTCTCGGGCTCTGGGCTCCCCAGGCTGCTCCGACCGGGTGTTTGTGACAGCGTCCCGGTGGGCTCTGGCCGCTCCGACAGAACCCTCCTCCCACACCCTAGGCTGCACCACAGGCGGTGGACAACCAGGATCGGGTGTGGGCAGATGGCATTCTGGGTCAGGCGTCAGCATGTGGAGGGCGCAGGGCCCACGCCGCTGAAATCCAGGAACCTGGGCAGGAGCTGCCCAAGAGCCAGTGTCCGGTAGGGGAGGGGCTGGCTTCCAGGCCTGGCCGCGGTCCCGATTCCAGCTTCCCGCTAACGCACCCGGGGGCAGCGGGGGGTGGCGCAAGCACTGGATCCCGGCCACTCACGTGCGAGACCCGGATGGAGTGCTTGGCTCCTGGCCCAGTCCTGGCTGTTGCAGGCATTTGAGGAGTGACAGTGGAGACTCGTGTTCTCTCTGTCTCTCTGTCTCTCTCTGTCTCTCTCTGTCTCTGTCTCCCTCTCCCTCTCCCTCTCCCCCCTTCCCCAGTGAATGAATGAATACATCAGTAACGTAAAGACTGGGCTGCACTTCCACTCGAGATCTGGGGACACAAGTGTTCTGAACGTGGCCCCTCCCCGCGCCCCTCCCCGCGCTCTCCTGGGGGCCAGGAACCCCCCTCCCCGATGGGGCAGAATGCCCTGCTCAGCCCCTGGCCTGCTGAATGGAGCCCTGCACGTGGAAACCTCAGCCTGAGACTCTGCCCCAGGCCTCCTTTTATTTTTCTTTTGTAAATTCTAAAATTTGTTTCAAAAGCAGAGAGAGGGTGCGAGCTCCCCCGCGCCCATCTAAAAGACAGCCCCCTGACTAACGCAGGTCAAGTTTGGTTCACTGACTGAAACGGCTTCGTCTGATACCTGGACCCACTACTCATGGTACGCGATGGTCACGCCCACGGCTCCGTCACTGCAGCTCGCGCCCCTGCCTCAGGAACTTC